TCAAATAACGATTCATGTCGTTGATCAGTTCATATGAAGTTTCCCAAACTCCGTGGTCTATTGTGTCTCCTATATAATATATTACGTCAATATCCTAAAAAATATTGTAAAATTTCTGCTTAATGTATTATTCCTTGTTTATTAGCTACTAGTTTTAACTTTTTATTTACTTCACTGGTAAAATAGTGTACCCTATGTATGTAATATAATTGATAATTTTTACATCTACATATGATTATTCTTACACTTGGTTGTTTGAATCCGGTGTCATTGTAACAAACAAAACAAAAACCTTGGCCTTGAATTAATATGAGTAAGATATAAGTATTTTCTTAAACTTACATTGTGATTTTCTTTGATAGTATCAATTGCGTCATCATAAGCCCAAATAGGAGTATCGCAGTTTCTGTAGTCTCCCCAAAAACCGGCTGGTACCGGGTTTTGTGATTTTTGATATCTCGTGCGGGCTAATTTCCTATGTTTGCGAACTTGCGTCGCAACACTTAGATCCAACATATTTTCGCCATTGTTATCTATTACACTTTCTTCAATCAACGATTCATCACCATTATATTCGTAATAAAAATCTTTGGCTGGGGTTTGACCGACTCTACAGCACGTAGGCTCATCGCAATCTGCTACACCAAACGGTTCATACAGGGGGTCAATATGAGCATCCGTTATAATAGCAATCTTTAAAGGATTTGCCTCAGCAACAGGAGTCTGCAATAACAAAGTCTATAATCAACTAAAAACATAAATAGTATACAGTACAGATACAGTTATTCGTATATTTATTATTTTACTAAATAATCACTGAAGTTTACCGGAATAGTGTTCCTTTTCTCCGGCAATTCTACTTGCCATTCAAATCTTGTATCTTGGTGGGAGCAAACGTTAGGCGTCTGCGCAGATTGCAATATTAGGCTACAAAACGTTTGAGGTGTAGCTTCTGGCGTAGTCCTTATGATGTGAGTTAAAATGGGCTAAAACATATATGTTGTGAATGTTAGTCAGTGGTAAATTTATGTCATTGAGATTTAACCTTTTTTTTGAGATCCATATTTACGTAGATTTAATTAAATTCACACGAATAATTCAGGTGCACAAGTGGGGTTCTTCAAGTGTAGTCGTTACTATTGTGAGCGGGAATGAGTGCGATGAACGATGAAAGTTTCTTCGCCTTTTTTATCCGTTTTGGGTTACGCAAAAACATATTTTTATGCAATTTTAATTCAAGGGTATATTGATTTTATAAAAAGGTAAATATATAAATAATTACTGCCCATAATCACATGTCGTCTGTTATAACGTACGAGTATTTTTAAGCCATGTCTGGTTATTGTTATGGTCCTATGTTCTTGCGATCTTGTCTAAAATGATAATTTGAATACGGCAATGTATAATTATTATTATCTAAATAAAAACAAAAACAGCAAAAAAAAATGGGACATCAAGCAGCTGATGATGATGATGAAACCACTAGTAATAAACATACCATATTGAGTCCGATGGCGCCGTTGCAAACATTGTAGTTTTGGATACCTAAATTAGTGCACAAGGTTGTAATAGTGCTGGTCAATTGCTCGTTGGTTTGACCATTTTTAACTCCTTGAAATAGTGCTGTGAATGCACTCCGACAGACTAGGCAATCGAGGGCCTAAAATAATAATTAAGCGGTTTGAAATAGCTTTAATAGGTAGGTACTGCCCACCTGTAGTATTTTGATATTTCATAATTTTGAGAATATGATTCATAAAACTTTATATCAACAGGGTAAACGAAGTAGGTATTCTTATCATACAAAAACAAGCCGAAATAAATATGCTACCTTAAATCAATAGTTGCGTTTAACATTAGTTCTCATTTGCCGAAGTATAATGGAACGTTTACTCGAGGCTAGTAGCTGAGACAATCCAATGAAAAATGCTTAAAAAATCACCTTGTCCCACTTCAGAGTGCCAGGGACAAGGTGGATTTTTTTAGCATCTTGCATTAGGAATTCAATTTCTAATTTTACTGGACTGGCTTAGCGGATTGTCTCAGAATTTAATTTCTATTTAGCATTTTCATTTTCATTAAAAATATTTTTTAGTATAGAATTGTGAATTGCATTCAATTGATCAAATACAATAATTAGAAATCGTTTTATTTTTATTATTTCTGCTATATACTGGCCTGACTTACTGATCCATCCATCACATCACATAGTAGTTTTTTAAATGAGTGTTTGTTTGAAAGTGAACGATAACTGCTACTTCACGTAAAATGATAACTGATACTCAATGTAATTAATTCAACCGATATTGAATGAGTACTTCAATTATTGCGTTAGCATATTTGAACTACCTACTTAGAACTGGCCTGTAACTATTATAGATAAGCCATTTTGTGATTGATGTGATACTTATTATTTTACAAAATAATAAAAAAAGATAATAGAGGAAAGTCGCCATATAATACTAAATAGCTTTCAAAATTATTGTTAAAAGAAAAAAAGAAACAATTAAGCCAAATGAATCCATTAGGTGTATTTGCCGGACTAGCTGGAAATTCACGGCAAACGATTTGGGAAGAATTTAGTGTTCCCTGTTATGGCATATTTACAGCTGTGAGATGGACCCATGGGATGTGACATAGGTTCGATATTTTGTTAGATCACAAATATTTTAACCATTCCAGATAAATTGAAAGAGAATGTCTAAGACACTTACGACTCTAACTTGGCTGGTGTTTTCTAGCCACCTTGCGGAAACAGTTTCAGGTCTGTGAAGGATGTCGAGTGCGTCATTTAATGTTGTTTTTTCTTTCTCCGATAACTCTCCTAATACATATTTTGTGAAGAGTGTCTCAACATCATCTAAAAATATGTTTCAATTAATAGTTCATACTATTTTAATTCAATTGACACATCATATATGATTATTAAGATTAAATTATGTAGCAATTTATTGATAACAATCTATATAAAAATGTTTATATAATTATTTTAAAAATGTAATTAATTTGTATCAAGTATTAGGGTATCACTTACTGAAAGTTATAAGTTGCTTAGCTATAGTCAAGTTTATCACCATACACACAAACACCAGCCACTTCATCTTTCTAGTCCAAATGATCACCAACAACTGATAAAAAAATTTAAATCAACTTTTTTATAAAGGTCCGTTACACGCACGCTATTCGATACGCCAACATTCCAGGGAAATTATTGAAATTTTTCCGTGTCGTTAAATGATAGTCTTATTATACGGGTACTTATTGAAAACTCGTTTAATACACTCCGCAAAAAAAATCATGAACATTATATTAATAACGTCGTGTGAGGTTAATACAATAGATATAAATATTTTGTTTTAATAAAAATATTACTGCTGTAACTATTCAGAGACAAATAACAAAATCAATATTGGATTTTTATTCAAAAATTGACTTTATTTATATCGTCTTTAGTATTATGGGTTTTTCATAAGCGACCATTATGTATGTGACGTATCTGAATGAGGCAGATATGACCGAAATACGTCTCAAGTAACACTATCTCTTGTCAAGATCATTATCTAGAAGATTGATATCATTCATTTGTTTTTATCGTCATTAATGACTGAAATTTGGAAATTATTATAAACAAGAATATCGTTCTTTTAAATTGTACAGAAATCGTTTGTGATTAGATTTCTTATATAATCAGATCTAATTAGCAGATATGAGAAATAATTACGATTATCAAAACTATACCTATTGAAAATATTTTTCAATAGTTTCATTTAATCGTTTCTGTTTTAAATTTAACGTTCTTAAGAGTCTAAGATAGAAAAGAAATGGCTTTTTATGTGGTATTAACCATAGCCCGCCGCTGCAGCATGCTAGAAATATTTAATTGTAAATACATAAAAATCAGTATATTTTTATTCATTTATTAAGGATGCCTAAAATAAGTACACTATTAGTTAAATTAAGTTTATTTATCGGTTTAAAATATGTTACTGATATGAACGCGTAAGTAACTGGAGAAAGGGTAAACCAATTCTGTTATAACTCTTTCTTTCAATAGTTTCGGAGCTTATCCAATGCAAAAAACAAGTAATCAAATCTTTCCTCTTTATAGTATGAGTATAGAATTATTGGGAAAAATTATGTCGAGTAAATTAACAAAATCTTATTGATATTTAATATTTTAACGGTCTGTTGCACAAACGTCTATTAAAGTTTAAGGACGCCTTTAAACACTAATGAATATCAAATTTGTATCGGTAATGTCGCTTGAAACTAATTAAAATTTTAGTGGACGTATTCGCAACGGGCTCTAACAGTTACCTATTATATTAAAATATCAATATCACTAAAAAGCATGAAATAAGAACTAAAAAAAATATAGAACCGAAAATGCTATTGAAGGTGGAGGTCTTCTGGTATGTCTATTAATTAAATGATAGATGCTCATGGACATATTACAATATATAATAATTACATCAGCTACTTTATAATAATTACACCACAACCTATACACACTATCCTTGTTGTAGATACTTGTGCAAAAAAAACAGGTTTTACTTTATATAGTTAATGGAACAGAGGAAGCGAGGTATGCAATAATGTAATTCTCATCGTCAAAAAAGGCCAGAATGTCGAAAAAGCATTCAAACTCTTTTTTTCAACCCCGCAACAGTTGTCCTTTAATAAAGTCAGAGATAGATAAAGCGATAGACTCTCGGACGTAATTATTTTGTTTTCTATTTAAAGTAAGGTTCAAATCGGAAGTCAAAGATTCTTATCGAAATACCCGAAAAAATAAATAAATTGCGTTGACTCATGTCTTACTCACTCGTGCATGTGCAAGTGATATGCGTTGTTTTGGAATGACGTGCTTAGTATTACATAGCTAATCTAATTTATCTGCTACACTCGTCAATTAAATCATTCATTTAACAGTCTTATCAGATATATGGTACTTGTTAAAAGAAAATATACTTAAATTAAATCTCAAAACAAAACACTCGTCGTTCCATTGGTTTCATCGATAAGGGACTGATATGCGATGTCCTTATACATATTTAGGAAGTCATTGCAAATAAATAACAAAATACACTTTCAACTTTAGATATTTATTTATTTTATACAAATGATTGCCTTGAAAATTTTTCGTTTACAAATAAAATAGTTTCACAAGTTCATTACATTTTCGGCGGTCCCAGAGTACTGTTACAACAGTACTGCATAATATATTGAGTTTACATGTATTATCACATACAGGCCAAAGTATATCGCTCAGTTTCGAATTGAAGGCTGCGTATATATCAAGCATTTGACGTCGATCTGTTACCATTGAATACACCAAGTCATTCATAGTTTTTGGTGACAAATCACTTATTTCGAACATACTGGTCATGTCGTATAGTAAGAACCAATGTGGTCTCTTGTCGGGGGTTAGGTTTGCTTCGGTGAGATTGTAAATATAATTCTGGATTCTAACCGGCTCCTGTGAAAAATACGTTTCGTATATAAACAGTATTATTTTTGGTCAATTAGTCAACTTTGAATTTATATTCCATTTTGACGTTTCAAGTCTTTTTCTATTGAGTATGGTCATAGTACGAGTATGATATCAACAACAAACTAAAAAAAGTTATTATCAATAATGAAATATTTACAGTAGATATATACTTATTTAAAAATCAATATAATTTATTGTCTACTCTGTTTATAAGCTCTTTTCAAAATTGACATAACAGACATTAAACAAAGGGGGCAAGGGGCGGTTTCATTGCTGATTCCTCTTATTCCAAAAGCTAATAGGGTATCATAGGCTAAAATTTACTTTAAAGCAATAAGTGTGATAATACCTAAAACGAACACCATTTTATAACATTGCTAAAATAAATAACTCACGTAAGTCTGAGGATGAAGGTTAACAATTTTGTAATTAAGATTATAGAAGCTATAAGTAACGATGCCGCCACCTCCCCAGGCTACGTTGATAGGAGTACCTTCTGGACTATAGAAGATCTTGAACTCATCGGTATGCGTGTGCCCGTTGAATTCAGCTGCAATCGTTGAAGAGAATCTGCAACATAAAAATTCTCATAGATTTATGAGGCCCCAACTAAGATTAAGAAGTTCTCCAGTGCAAATTTATTCTGCTATTTGAGCATTATAGGGCGCAGTGAGATATAGAAATTTCTATGAAACCGCCCGCAACCCCAGGTACAAATGTACAACGTTAAACTTTCATTAAATTAATCTTTCATTATAACTTCTAACATTTTATGTAATGTGACTTATCTACTTACGCTTTATAAGAATGTACTTATTTATTTATTTACTCCATTGTTTTTTTTATTCATTATCTTCATTATTGTGAAGATTTGTAAAAAAAATTGCAAAAAAACAATTAAATCTTATAGAGAAATTCTCCTTAATTGATCCTATACATAGCGAATAGCTGTGCCCCTATAGAGATGATAACTATTAAAAGGCTGATGATGATGAGATCTTAAATTATGGTTACATATACCAAATTAATTATAATTCTACCTATTAACAATTTTGTTGTATTCTCTAGTCCACGTATATGTTAGATCTTGAGTTCCTGGTGGGATGTGGGCCAAAATGTGAACCTTTTCACCTTTTAATTCAGCATTATATAATTCCTGCACAAGCCAGTCTAAATGATTTTTCGCATCAAGAGGGTCGTACAGTAACCACCTTCAGAACAGAGAAAGAAAATTAATAGTTTGAACTCTATTATTGCATTATCGTCACACATTATAATTTTGATTAAAATATACCTAAACAATACACCTAATAAAGGGCGAATCAGTAGTAAAGTCTCAGCTCGGCATTATATTTAATCAATATTGCATTCGCATTGACATATTGATATTTCTCTTAAAGAAAATAAAGCTTTCTTTAAGAAGTCTCACCTGTCAAGCAACAGGGAGTGTGTGGGACTCTCCTTCGTGAACCTAACCGGCAGTGAGCTGCCCGGTGAGTCTCTGACCCACCAAAAACCCCTAAGTGTACCCTCTCCTAGGCGATGAGACCCGGGAAGCCGTGGCCGTATCACCACGATACTCAATCCCTTTTATTGGAACATTGGACCCAGTCACGGAATTCTTCACAACCCAACGGGAGGAAATGCGGTAGTTTTTTTAACCGACATCAAAATCGATAAGGAGGAGGTCATATGTTCGGCTCCGATGTATGCTCACCGAAATTGTCGTCAAATAAAAAAAGATTTTTTATTCATATTCCTGTTGAATACATAACCTTTTTTAATTCGACAGCTTTATGGATTCCATTTAAAGAAGAATGGCGAAATCAGATCCCATAATTTACAAAACCGTACATGGATGGCAATATGACAAATAAATAATATATGATTAATAGATTTTATTTCTACAAAGTGGTGAATTTTAAAGTCGGGGAACGAAACTAAAATATTAAATGCTGCTATTAATTATCAAGATAACAAAACGTCTGATGATAGGGCAAAAACAAAACGCGAAAATCTTCTTAAGAAACGTTCTGGTCTACGCAAAAGTACTTTAATAATAAAACTATATCTAATAATAAAAGGGTCATCTATTTTAATGGATATTATCGTTTCCTGTACATTACAATTAATTCTATTGCCTTTAAAGTACCATTAATACGCTTAATAATCGAATATAAATTCAAAATAAGATTGTATAGAATAGATTCCGTTCTCTTTAATTAAAAACCACACTATATGTCAAAGGGTTTTAGTTTGGATGGTTTTTGAAAAATCGATCACATACATCAACGATGTCAGAAGCGATTCTCAATTAATCGCGAGTTTTTTTAAACTTATTTTATAGAATATTATCTGTCGTCATTAACTGCTAATAATAAGTGAGATATGTGATTTAATGATACGTACGCGTACCGACTGAGCGAATGAACGTAAAATATATACTCAATATAAAATCTATATATAATATATTATATGAAATACGATATTTGAATACTTTCATAAATATTTATTTTATTCGTTCAAATTACGAATTGAATACTTGAGAAATAAAAAAATTGAAAGCTAAGATACCACAACCGATTTAAGAAGATTATTGTCAGTTCTGCAGTTGATCCGATGAAAGGTTAACGTATCGATTATTTTGTTCTAAATAATCGATGGGTTGATTTTATTTTGACATGCTTGTTTAATTCATCCATGAATGTTCTATGATGATGATGGTGGAATGATAGCGGATGATTAGTTTGGTTTGTTTGTTGTGTGTTCGTTCATGGAGTTTGATATTTATGTTAATATTCAACTTGACAATTAAGCATGTTTCTTTGACTAACGTTGATATTTGCATTACTTTTGGATTCCGAATGGCAATCGATTCGGTTATATCAATGACAGTTCAATGTGTACATTGCCCTTATTTGTCACTTTCAGTTGTAATGATTTAATTAAAGGCAAAGGGATCTAGTCCACACAGTCTAGTCATATGTTATAAATGTTTCTTCTATTATAAGTGTCTGGATCTTGTTAGATATGTAACTATCTTAATCTAGTTTATTAAACGTAGTAATCTGGTTACCATTTTTATTTATTTTAACGGCCATTCAACGAAAAAGCAAAGATGCAATATATAACCCCACAAAGTATTTTATGCCATATCTTTTTAACCCCAACTTTTAAAGGAAAAAGACGATTAGGATTTTGTTACTTTAGTTTATACCTTCAAGTACACGTTTATTTCATTCATGAACGGGACTTTAAAAATTCAGGTCCAAAGCTATATGGGAGTTCGCCATTGTTCTTTTAGTGGAATCGAATAAGTACTTCATTTTATAACAAATTAAAATACGGTTTTTAACAGATATCACTTAAATATTAAGATGAAGTGAATGGCATGGCCCATTTCAACTAAAAAACAAAAGCTTGCGTTTTTAGAATTCATTCAAAATCAGAAAGGAAGATTTCTATGTTCAGCGAGTATATATTCTTTACTTTTTCATGTATATTTTTATGAAGGTCTTAAAGTCATAGTTAATAAATATCAATGAGTAAATTACATATACATATAGAGTGTTACATATGTTCATTCATTTCTTTTTGAATTGTGAACCCATTTCTATCAAACTAGCTGTTTCTCCGGAACTCCGCCTGCGTAAATTATAGCCTATGTCTGCCGCGTATTAAATAGCTTTCCGTAAATGAAGACTATAAATCGGTCCAATAGTTTCGGAGACTATCCAATGCGAATAAACAAGCAATCAAATCTTTCCTAAAATATGAATATAGATTATTGGAAAAAAATTATGTCTAACAAATAAATAAAATCTCCTATTCTAAGACTTTCACTATGTTCACATTTTTATTTAATAATCTTCAGAAAACCGCCGCCCGACTTCAATAGTATTTTCTTGAATAAGTTGCTTTTGAAATAAGGATTACTTATCTCTTTTTAAAGTTTGAAGTCGGTTCTACTTTTTATAAAAAGTTTTTATTTCCTGCTTTTTAGTGATATTGATATTTTTTATATAATAGGTAACACTAAAGATATTAAATACTTTATGGGGCTAGCAATATTTCTAATCCTTACCAGTTATACTTGTATGCGACGTTATTATTAAGTGATATGACTCGCAACCCGGGCTTCACCAACAGCGAGAAGTCGCCACTTTTTCTTAAAGATGTCTTTGCTGGCTGCGTTAAATAAGGACTCCACTTATCAGCTAAAGAGTTGTATAGCCACGTTGTATTTAATTTAGGAGCTGCTATCGATGATGGAGCAAACCTAAAATAAACATATTTTAAATTATTCTTCCTATTAGAAAAATAATAGCGACAAGACAAGCTTTTATATAACTCAGTAAACCCTGTCCTTTGATAAAATTAAGTACTTTAAGTATTCATTGTTATATAAACTAAACCGGAATGCTTTAATCGCTTGATAATAATTACCTTAAAATTTGGTTCGATATTTGACAAACACATATAGAATACTACAGTTAAATAAAGCTTTTAACAACAAATGGCGTTTGATAGAACAACAGACAAAACGTTGAAACAGCGTTAGGGAAACTACGAAAAATCTTATCGTTCAAATTAACTCAAGTGTCTCAAGACGAAAGTTGTCGACCAATATGTAAGGAGATCAGTAGTAGAAGAATTAAAATGACATTGTTTGAAGGATTGCTCAGCTGAAGTGACAGTGTGTTCCATACACTGTCACTTCAGCTAAGCAATCTTTCCATCCCATCAACTATAGCACGCGAACCCGATAGTTGATGGGATGGAAAGATTTGGGAATGGCGACCACGCATCAAATGACGCTAAGTGAGAAAGTCCCCTACCAGGTGGCTCGATGATCTGATAAAGGTCGCGGAAAACCGAGCGTAGATCGCCGCGGAAATTCACGAAGGAGGCCTATGCCGAGAAGTGCGCATCGCACGGCTGATTCAGACATTCAGAGGAGATTAAGTAAATTTGGGAAACATGTTCTATTGTTACTGTGAAAACTATTATTAAGATACTGATGAGAGCTTAATGCACTTGAAAGTTAATAGATCTATAAGTAAACTGACTTTGCTTCAACTAGGGTCAAGGCAGATATATTAATGAACGGTTGTACGTACTGGTTCGTTGGTTGAGATTCATGATTCGCAATAACTGGCACAACCATAACATTATTTCCGAAAGTGTTTCTGATTTTTTCAATCAGGTATTGGTTCATTTCATTAATAAGCTCGTAAGATGTCTCCCAAACTCCGTGATCAATTGTATCTCCAATGTAATACAAAATGTCGATGTCCTGTTTAAAATTTAAAGATAATGGTTTGAAGTAAGAAATAAAGGTCTACTTTTCTTATCTGTAGGTATGTAATTCCTCACATTAATAATATAATATATCCTATTATATAAACACTTTAACCGAATAAATTACTGAACATAATTTCATTTCATTGCTAGGTAATTTGGAGCCGAAACTATATTACAAATAAAAAATATCAACTTACATTATGATGTTCTTTTATATTTTCTACGGCATCATCAAATGCCCAAATTGGAGAGTCGCAATTTCTATAGTCTCCCCAATAACCGGCTGGCTCAAGATTACGCGATCGATAAACCATAGCTGCGTTTTTATTTAAATTACGCATTTTTTGTGCTAAACTCAGATTCAGCATTTGTGTACCATCAACATGAACTAAGCTTTCTTCCAGTAAAAGATTGTTGCCTCTGGACTGATAGATAAGTGAACCTGCAGCTGGAGTTTGCCCTTTTCTACAACAGGTGGGCTCATTGCAATCTGCTACTCCGTATGGTTCATATAAAGGATCAATATGCGCGTCAGTTATTATTGCCACTTTCAAAGACTTCTCATCATAAATAGGAACCTGTAAGCAAACTTTTTTAGATTATCTTAAATCTTTTTCCTTTTTTCACAGAAATCTGGTTTTGGTCCTTTTTATTTCAGATCATAAGTTGAAAGACTAAAGTAACCCCTAAACAATAAATTTCATATATAAATACCATTACAGTTATTTCCAAATTCAAACTATACAAAACAATTTCGAAATGTACTCTTAAAAATTACCGGTGTTGTCGAAGGTTTTTGCGGTAACTCTACTTGCCAATCGAACCTTGGATCCTCATCAGAAGGACACGCTAGTGGGTCACTAGCTGTCTGAAATACCAGACCGCAAAACGTCCCAGCGGAAGCTTCTGGAGTAGTTTTAAAGATGTACGATAGGATAGGCTGAAAAAATGCATCTTAAACTTTAAATATTAACAATATATATATTTTTGGCTATTCGTAGAATTATTTAAGGTTTAGAAAGTATTTATGAAACGAAGGTACTCAGAAAGTTTCAAATTTAGTTTCAAACAGAGAACATCCTTCAAAAATGCGCTCATCATATAAATAGCTGTCAGTATGGGGAAGTCTGAAACTAACACAGACGAAGATTTGTGAAAACAAAAACTAATTGTTATAACAAAAAAAAACTAGTATCATTGAAAATAGGTCCGGGTAAAGTCAATTGGCACTTTCAACTTAGTCGGGAGTTCATTTTTCAGATTTTTTTTTTTATTTTATAGTGTTGTAAGCCTAACTACTTATTATTTGTCAAACGTTGAAATTGAAACTTTGAAAGTAGATTATTGAGAAGTAATATTAACAATAGCCAAAATAAAGTGCCCCTAATTTTTTCGCCAAAAAAAGAAACGGAATTCACCCCAGCCAGAGTATAAAGTAAGCGCAAATGTAAAGGTTCATTTTTAAAGTAGAACAAGCAGGCTTGAATCCAAAATTATAGTGACTGAACTATTAATAGTACCTATCAATTGATTTACTTACCACATTTAACGCCGCAGCTCCATGACAAACAGAATGTGTAAAAATTCCCAAGTTAGTACATATAACTGTAAGAGTGTCTGTGATTTCTTCATCTGTTTTGCCCATAGCGATGCTTTCTAGAAATGCAAATGCTACGCTACGACAAAGGATACATTCAATTCTCTGTAAGGTAAAAAATAAATTTAATATGGGCGGCTGATCCTTTGACTGCTTCATGATGGGGCCAAGCATTAGTGATCATATCGTAATATAGTTAGCTGATGTCGCATTGTTTAATGTGATTTCATTTTTAGGTTAAACAACAAATTAAAAAAGTAGGTTGACCAAGCGACGGAAAACTATTACTTAATTAGGTATATAGTAAGTTAATTGTAGGAGTGTAGTGGCAAAAGCTGTTCCATAGTTTTATGGATATGTCGCAAGATAATAATAAAGACAGGGTTATGATCTAGTTCTAGAAGCAGATAAAAATATATTGGAGGATATTTTGAAGTAAATCGAACGGCTTGGCGGCGTCATTTATAATTTAGATAATCGTTTAGGTGTTCTGATAACGCTTTATACACTGAATATATTTTTTAAAGTGATAAATATTACGAAGTATTCCATATAATGTCGAATAACGTCTTATAAAATTCCTATGTAAAAAAATGAAATGTTGGTAATTTCAGGTTGCCAAGTACTGGATAACCACATTGTCTTACAATATTTAATCAAAAAATTAAAAGTAGTCAATCACCCTTCTGAGACTGCCGCTTTCAGTTAACGGTGAAACAGACACGGGCTCCGGTCGCCGGAGAATATCAAATACATCTTGCAGTTCCACATGATCTTCTGCGGTTAACTGGTGTAATATTAACTTTCTAAAGAGATTTTCGATTTCATCTGAAATCCATTTAAGTTTGAATTAATCTTGTTAGAAATAAACTTTTTCAAAGTTTATTAGTACCAACTTAGTACAACTATGCCATCTATGCGATGATGATTTAGATCGGACGAATGTCAAGTATCAATAAAATAACTGTATAAAACTTCTCAGACGTCACACTTACAAAGAACTGACTACATTTGTAAAGGATATTAAATTTTACTTACTTAAGCCAATCAAATTTGCAGCCGAACTTAAACTTATAAACAAAAACACAACAATTGGCACTTTCATCCTGCTCGTGTTAATATTCGGCAGTGAATGATAAAACAAAGAATCGCCTTTTATAATTGTAAAATTACATGAACAAAAGACATAGGGCTGTCGCTCAAACGAATAGGAACTTAAATATAACATGTAAACATCTTTTCCGCAAACATTATAAAGAGATGTACAACTTCAGTTTAGTACAGATTGCCTTAATGTTGTACCTTATTTTACCTTATTTTTCTTAGAAAAACATTTCTATTAAGAAGAGGGCCCTTATCCCAAAGTGGTTGCACACACTAGAGTTACAATTATCAAAGGTTTACATATACTTATTTTCTCCTATTGTTATTGCTCATATTTCAAAATGCTTAAGGCTGTCTTATCGCTAGAAGCGATCACTTCCAGTAATCAAATAACGATTGAAACATTTAACTTTGACGAAATAAAAGAGGGAAGGTAGAAGGCAAATAACGAACATTTTATAATATAAATAAATAATATTGTACAAATACATAGAAGTTACAAAGAAGGTAGGTAATTAATTAATATTATACGGTATGATTTCAATACAAATAATTATCAAAAGAATTCCCAGGTTAAGGTCTTTATTGCTCATAATCAAAAATGATTGTTTACACATAATATAGTTTAACAAGTTCATCACATTTTCGGCGGTCCCAGAGTACTGTTATAACAGTACTGCATAATACATCGAGTTTACATGTGTCACTGCATTTAGGCCAAATTATATCGCTCAGTTTTGAATCAAAAGCTGCGTATGCATCTAGCAGTTGACGTCGATACGTGACCATTGAATATACTAACTTATTCATAGCTTTCGGTGACAAGTCACTTATTTCGAACATACTATTCATGTCATATAGTAAGAACCAACGCGGTCTCTTGTCGGGGGTCAGGTTTGCTTCGGTGAGATTGTAGATGTAGTTCTGAATTTTAACCGGCACCTGTGAAAAATAAGTTTCGTGTAGGTATTTAAACAATTTCGGGCCCATACTAAATTATGAATAAGAATCACTTACAGTGACGAAAAGTTCTTTTCAACCCCCAAAATTATTTGGAACTCTATCTATGAATTAAGATTTAAAATAAATTCAAGAAATTTAATATGTTTATATGTATTACTTGACTTGCAGTTAACTATACACATCTTTTCTTGAAATTAATAAAAAAAATGTATTAATTTTATTCTTATGTTTTTTTTTTTTAAATAAGCTTTTTATAATAAAAAAATACGTAACACCCGAAAACAATCTATTTAATATAAAACAAAATCATCAACAATCGTATAGTAAAATAGTATCTAACTATGAGCACATACGTATCTTTTTAAAATCAGGGGAAAAAGTTTCATAGTGACGCCCTCGCTTATGAAAATGAGATAATTTTCGTCAACTTAAAAAAATCACGATGCAACGAGACACGTTACGAAATGTTTGTTCCTGCGATTCTGTAAAAATCCGAACCCGAATTCGATTTCACTCAGGTGTTTTTTTTTTTTTTCTAACTACTATGGGTACAGCCACAGAAATAAATCGGTACAGCCTAAAGAATTTAACGGAGCTTAGTAGTTTACAGAATAGTGATATTGTACACATATAACGGGGATATTTATAACACGCTAATAAGAATTAAATGAATGCCCTATCATAAATTGTTAAAATATGACACTCACGTAAGTCTGAGGATGAAGGTTAACAATTTTGTAATTAAGATTATAGAAGCTATAAGTAACGATGCCGCCACCTCCCCAGGCTACGTTGATAGGAGTACCTTCTGGACTATAGAAGATCTTGAACTCATCGGTATGCGTGTGCCCGTTGAATTCAGCTGCAATTGTTGAAGAGAATCTAAAACATCACAATTTACATGAGGGCCAAACGAGCCTTAATTGCGTGCGTAAACGGTGAAACTTACGCAAAGATCACTAGGAAAATTTACCCCTCGAAAAGTTCTTAAAAAAGCCCGCGACTGCGGCTATATTTATCTTATATTTTATTTCGAAAAAATAGCACTTAGACGAATGAAAATGGAAGTGGAAGTTTGTATAGTTACCACAGTAACATAAACCATGTTACTGTCAATTCAACTATCAATTTGAAATTGTAATTATATCCGTGTCACGATCCTTACTTAAATCAGTTATAAAATTATTTAATTCAGTGTAATATTAAATAATTTTACTTAATTAAGAGCGTATATACCAAATAAGTTAGATCCTAATGGATCAATACGAGTTTAATTAATATTATTTTTAGAGATTTCTTCCTGCACGAATTTTCATAAAAAAGGGGATTTTTACTTAGCCACCACTCAGTCTGCCATGCAGGTGATAAGCAACTTTCGTTAGGGCCGGTCATAGGAAGGGTGGCCAAAAAATTATTATCTCTGGCTTTTTTTTTGTGCTTCTGAAGGTACGTTAAGCCGTCGGTCTCTGCTATATCTGCAGATTTAAATAGCTCCATTCCGCATTGGGTCCACGTGATTATGGCCGGTTACATAAAACCAACCAATTATTAGTCAAGTTCACAGGTGACGCTACTGTGTTTTTAAAACAGGATTTTGTTTCTTTTTAATGTCTGTTATCTTTGTTATTCCGATTTTTATCAAATAAAGTAACGTTCGTTTTCAATGTTGTGGTTTTAATAAAAAAAAAAATGGGGAATTATTAAACGGGAAAAAGTAAAATGTTACTTTAAGCTCTTTTCGCTAGATGATGAAACTACTGAATTTTAAAAACGGGATTTTGATTTTTAAATGTTCCTAATATATTTTTAAAGTATCAGACTAATAACGAGACACTTTAATACTAAGGGCGTTGAATTATGTTTACGTAAAATGTACTAAACTACCGGTAATTATATAAGACTAGAAGTAAAATAATCTTGACATAAGCTACTAATTGTCGGAAACAGTAGGTATTATCTAAACCATGAGAAGACGAAATTAGTCTCGTTCGATACCAACAAATTGAAGAGATGGCAGAAAATCCGTTGGCAATATTTTATTTGGCTGACATGCACTAAAATCTAAAACCAAGAAGCTAAATTTAGAAAGCAAGAACAAGCTAACCGTCATGTTGCTTTCAGGACCAGTCATAGAGTCTTGCACAAGCAAAACATTAAGCTGTTTAAGCTCTTACCTGATATATAGAGTAATATAAATAAAGGGACTGCTTTTTTCAAAGAAAACTGATTATATCATTACAAGACGTGTCGATTCTACTGCGCACTAAAATAGAAAGATGAGCAACTGAATTATTCTATATAAACATGCCCGTTATCTACGTTAGATATACAGGTAGATTTGCCTTATTTGGTTTCATCTAATGGGCAGGCCTATGCCCCAGCGGTGAGGACGTTGATAAGCTAAGATATAAAGGTGAATGCTCACTGGCAATTTTTTTATTAAGAATAGCTGGAGACTTATAGCAGGCCAGTGTGTTAAAACAGCCGTTGAATATAATGTAATGTAATAATAAAAACTACTACAAATTTAAAAGTAAAATGTCAGCTTTACAAAATAATGTCCCACGTGTTACTAAAGTAATCAATGTGGAGATGTCGTTGGATGCTAAAATTTGGACAACTGATATACATTTACTCTTAGGATTTTATTCGATATTAGGTTTCGAAATAGCATTATACATGTGAATATATATACATATCAATTGATACCATTTAGATAAATCTCGAGTAGCTCGGTGGCGTAGTGGATAAGCGCCGCGGCCCGCGATCGTAGTTGTTAAGCAACTTTCGCAAGGGTCGGTCACGGGATGGGTGACCAAAAATTATTGTCTCGAGCTACTCCGTGCTTCGGAAGGCACGTTAAGCCGTTGGTCCCGGCTGCATTTGCAGTCGTTAATATCCTCCAATCCGCATTGGGCCAGCGTGGAGGGTCATGGCCCATCCTCCTTAACCATCCATAAGGAAGGCCTGAGCCCCTGCAGTGGGGACGTAAAAGGGCTGGTGTAGTGGTGTAGTGTAGATAAATCTAATTAGTTGATTTACCTATTAACAATTCGGTTGTACTCTCTAGTCCATGTATATGTAAGGTCTTCACTTCCCGGTGGGATGTGGGCCAAAATATGAACCTTTTCTCCCTCTAATTCAGCTTTACGTAATTCCAGCACAAGCCAGTCTAAATGGTTTTTCGCATCTAGAGGATCGTAATGTAACCACCTGTTCAGAATAGAAAAATAAAAACCACCATTAAAATAAATATCTTCACAAAATAAAAATATTTCTGATATTTCAAAGTCGAATCTACTTGGACTTCGTCTGCAATATAATGGTAAAAAAATATTTTTTAGTCATAAAGTACTTTAAGCATTTTATTATATGGGCCTAGCATAGTTACTAGTTCTTACCAGTTATACTTGTATGCGACGTTATTATTAAGTGATATAACTCGTAGTCCTGGTCTCACCAACAGCGAAAAGTCGCCACTTTTTCTTAAAGATGTCTTAGCTTGCTCGGTTAAATAAGGACTCCACATATCAGCTAAAGAATTGTATAGCCATGTTGTATTTAGTTTAGGAGCAACTATAGATGATGGAGCAAATCTAAAATGAACGAAATACGCGGCCCTCAATACTTTTATAGAGTTTTGAAGCGACAATCAAGAACGTGATCCTGGTAATCGTTAGTTTTTGTAAACTTGAAATACATATCAGTCAATAATAAGATAAACGCCTCAACATTCTGCTACATAGTAATGTCTTGTCGCATTACTGACCCTCCTATTGGATCAATATGAAGCATGTTCGATTCAAAATTTTAAAGCTAAAATTCCTTGAATAGGGCTCTAATTCGTCTAAAGTAGCGTAACTATCAAGTTTCTCTCCCGGTTGAAAAAATCGTAGATCCGGGACTGTATTTCTTATAGACAACACTTCGAGAATATAATTGGGATCCTTAGTCATCCATTAATGCTCGTACCTAGCTGGAATCACTTGCTAAGAATTGTTTCAGTTGTCAGTTAAAAGAAAAAAAGTTTTTATAACAAAAAACTACCGACAATTATTGATTAGTCTAATTTTATGGATTTTTAAGAAATGTGAGATCATTTACTAAAAATCATTATACCAAATATTCAAAGATGCCGGTTATTTGAGGCCATCCAGATCTGGACGGAGCCTGGAATTGAATTCTGAATCCTAAAATATGACTGCTTTTCAAAGGCGTATAATATTAAGCTATTACTTTCAAGTTCTGCAGGTTCAAAGTTTTAAATTAATTTATGTTCTCCGAAGGTTATAGTAAAATATCAGTTAATAGCACTACATACTGGTTTATTGGTTGAGATTCGTGATTCCCAATAACTGGCAAGACCATAACATTGTTGCCAAAGGTAGATCTGATTTTTTCAATAAAATATTGGTTCATTTCATTGGTAAGCTCGTAAGATGTCTCCCAAATTGTGTGACCAATTGTATCTCCAATGTAATACATAACATCGATATCCTGGTTAAAATTATGACATAAGAGTGAAATTTAAAATCTATTCGTTAGTAAATCGTCCTAAACTCATTAGTTATATTACTTACTTCATGATTTTGTTTTATATTTTCTACGGCATCATCAAATGCCCAAATTGGAGAGTCGCAATTTCTGTAGTCTCCCCAATAACCGGCTGGCTCAAGATTACGCGATTGAAAACCTATAGCTGCGTTTTTATATAAATTACGCATTTTTTGTCCTAAACTTAGATTCAGCATTTGTGCACCATCAAAATTAACTAAGCTTTCTTCCAGTAAAATATCACTGCTTTTGGACTGATGAGTAGGTCGTTTTATAGCTGGAGTTTGCCCTTTTCTACAACAGGTGGGCTCATTGCAATCTGCTACTCCGTATGGTTCATATAAAGGATCAATATGTGCGTCAGTTATTATTGCCACTTTCAAAGGTTTCTCATCATATATGGAAACCTATAATCGGAAGTAAAATTTTAGATTGGCATTGATGTTCTTTTTAGTTATTTTACAGTGTTTCTTTTTTCTTTTTTGTGTAGTATGTATTTACTGAACCGCAAATCACAAATTACATTGATATTAATAAAATTTAGTCTTTCAAGTATTGTAAAACTCTATCTACCTATTGTTATTTTGGTAAGTCAGAAAGGGAAGCAAAAATATATTAATTAGATAAGTAAAGAAAAAATCACCGGTATGGACTGTAGTTTTTGCGGTAGTTCTACTTGCCATTCGAACCTGGGATCCTTATCATAAGGACACGCTAGTGGGTCAGTAGCTGTCTGTAAAATCACTCCGCAAAAGGTGCTACCAGAAACCATAGGAGTAGTTTTCAAGATATATGTTAGAATAGGCTGGAAAAATAAAACACCTCTTTCCATTATTAAATCAATAAAAAACGACACATAAAACACAATAAATCTAACAATTAATCAATCATACAAGTTACTACTGATTTTGAAGTGGTTTCAAATATATGGTAATGCTGCATTTAGACGATATTCAATGGTAGATAATGCCCAGGATTTTACTAGACATAGAACGTATGGAATAATATATCTGAACGCAGTCACTTTCTTTACAGTTTGGGTATAAATTGATGTACTAACCACGTTCAATGCTACTACTCCATAACAAACGGAGTGGGTAAAAAATCCCAATCGAGTGCAGATAAATGAAATAGTATTCGTGATTTCTTCATCTGTTTTGCCCAGAGTTACGCCCGCTCTAAATGCAAAAACAACGGCACGACAAAGTATGCAATCAATCCTCTGTAAAAATCAATTAAGATATCATTGAATTAAAAAAAAGCATGATGCCAAGCACTGAGAAGCAAGGTTATAAATTTTTGGTTACCAACGATATTGACCTTGCATAATTTAATAACCTCAGCAATCTTAGTGCGAATGTATGCATGCACATATATGCGTATCGCATAATTTTAAGATCTTTCTTTTATATGAGTAAATACCTATTATGTTAAACGAAGCATGAATTATGATAAAATTGCAATAGCAAACTCTGATTAGATAAGATAGATACAATCGTATTTTGTGAAACAAAATCAAAATCATGCAGACTGCATTTTTATTCAACACCGAAGATCGACATTATAATATTTTAACATTTTTTCTTTCACTGATTCCAAAAAGAAGATATTTATTAAAAATCTAAGTGTTGGTGTTCTGAACAGTAATCGATCGAAATGTTTTAAAAACGTTGAAATGCATGCAATTAAATATTTCCATCAATGGCCAATAAATATCGTAATTATGGTCATTTTAAATCACCGACTAGAAATGCATTTGATTTTAAAATTCCTTTAAAATAACTACTTACTTGAAAAGAATAAAAGAAAGTAGTACTTAATCACCTTTCTGACAGAGCTGCTTTTAGCTATCGATGTAACAGAAACAGGGTCTGGCCGACGAAGAATTTCAAACATATCTTCCAATTCCACGTTATCTTTTGCTGTTAGTTGGTTTAACAAAAGCTTTGTAAAAAGAGGTTCGATTTCATCTGAAATAATGTTAAGTATAAATAGTATTTAATAGCAGGCATTTCCTTGCGGACAGCGCTGTTTTTTTCAACGGGTACGGGTTGCATTTTCCCTGCGTTGAAGAAAATTGGGTGTGACTCACACTGAATAAAATTTTGAAAGTACTTCAATAATATCTAAATTGTGACAAAAATATTAACAATGATAATTAGTCCTGGACCCAGCCCAGGGAGGGTCATGATCTTGGTAACCACCACCCTGATTCCTTCTTTGCTTGCGGATGTTTAGTAAGATAACTATAGCAACTTACACCAACTAGATGGTTGGCACTAAATTGTTTAACTATGGTGTATCTCAGTTAGTTAAAAAGTATTTGTTAATCCAGATAAGTGATATTGACTAGTACCCGAAAAACTTGTTGCCAAATAGCCGTCGATTCCGTGAAAAGGTAACAAACAAATGTTCAAATTATTAATTCGATAAAATTAAAAATTGCTTGGTTAGTGCTTGAAAGCTAGAGTCTATTATCTCCTTGAGGATAATCTACCTATACAATTGCTGATCAATATGCATTTTTATAGTATAGATAATTTATAAAATATTTCTTTCAGGTTTTTAGATCGATTATCGATCGCATCTAATGAGCGTATTTCCATAAGGGTCGATTTCAAATTTAGGGCCAAAAAGTATTTATTAATGTTATACATTTTTATTAGATATACTAAGGTGCGTAAATAACTTAAAAAATGTATGATAATCAAATAAAACTTTAAATTCTTCCAATAATATGAAAATTACAACTTTTTGAATGACATAAATGAGTAACATATTTTCTTCATTTGCTAAGGAGACCTCTGATGTCATTCAAGATAATATTTATTCTATTACTCATTTTACAATTCCTACTATATATAATTGTCAGTTAAAAGCAATAGAGTAATTTTAGGTAAAATGAAAACTAATATAAAAAATCTTCGTAATTTTGTTTTTTTGATATTCAAATTATTTTTTTTCTAAGTATTATTTATTTCGACAATCGTATTTTTTAAATCTAGATAGTGACTCCTTAGTGTTATTATTTATTTATTATAAATGTTGTATTTAATAATTATATTCCTTTAATTGATATATTTTTTTATAAACTTAATCATATAATTAGTCTTAATCATGCTCTTCTCAATTATAATCAAAATCATCCAAACACATAAAGTACTTATTTATTATTCAAAGATCGGTCATTAATGAAACGCAGGAAAGCCTCTTCATGTCTGATTAGTGCATATTTCACATCTGCAAGATTTTTTTTATATGTGTGCGAATATTATGAGACTATTATATATTTATATGAGACTATTAATATCATTTTCTTAAAAACTTTTTAGTCATTGTTGAATACTGACTTAATTTTGTGTTTTTTGCTTAAAGCGTTCTCGAAAATAAACTTTTTCGAAGATCGGTAGAAACTTTGAATTTTTTGAACTTTTATCAATTGAATTGATGATTTCTCTTTTCTACTTTCGGCTATTGTAAATTTCTGTGCTATTTCTTTACTTAAAAGACTGTCAAATAATTGTTTCTTATCATTATAAAATTTAATATTTTCTTGATATTACTTGTTTGTTCAATTGTTTATATTGATAATACTTTGCAGAATCTTGATCCTATCCCTGTATCTATTTAATAATAATATAAAATTTTGTTTCTCTTTTATATGCTGCATTTTTAATGACCTTATTTTAATGTTGTTCGTTTGACTCTACCATCATTAATGTTATTTGGAATTTACTTGGTTTTGTTTTTTTTACTTGTGTTTATATATTAAATGGATCTACATAGTTAATTTATTCGTCATTATTACTTGCTTCACTTACTGGAACATTTTATACGATTTTGTGACTAACTTTCTTTTTATAATACTTTTCGGCACTCTCTTTCCACTTTTTCTTTGTATCCGTTGCTCTTGTCGACTCAATTCATTTAATGAAAACTGAGTAAGAAATAAATTTATATGAGATAAATGGGCTACCAACATAATAGATGGAACGTGAAATATACAATGGTTGATTTTATTCATGAACGTATGTATTACAAGCTTGAGGTTCGCAACAGGAAGGGACAAGGAAGCTAGCTACTTCCTATATACATTTTATGGATGTGTTCAGAAATACGTAATAAATAAATGAAGCTGAGTTCACATTTCTTCATTCTTCCTTGAACGTAAGCCTGTGCTCTCCAGGAATTAGTAATGCTTCGGCTTATTTAATGCTTTGGTGAGACAGTCGGCAATCATCGAGTCGGTGCTGATATGCTTAACACCAGATGCCACTTTGTCCCAGATATAGTAGTGATGCACATCAACATGCTTCCTCCTGGCATGATAAGTTTGATTGCACTTTGGATATCACAAAAAATAATTATAGTTTTTGTTATAGTTGAAGGCGATAGCTCCTGATGAAGCTCTTCTAGCCATATTACTTCTTGGGTAGCCGTAGATAATGCCATGTATTCCACCTCTGTGGTTAACAGCGCAATGGTTAACTCTTACCTCTTAGCCTCTTCTCTACTTAGCCTCTTTGAATTCCAAATAATGGTTGCACCATACTTGCTGTGATCCAGTTTCATAATGTAGGGGTTGTGACCATTTAATTTTATTTTTTCAGTAAACAGCTTGTCTCAAAACATATGAACACACGAGGTATGTATTTATTTTCTTTAATACTCAAACTTTCATATGGACTCGTACTATTATTTAGAAGTTCATTTTTCTGTTCTTGTTGTGAAGAACTCACAGTGTCTCATTTTTCTCTTCTTGTTGTGAGGAGCTCATTGGCATCAAGGTAAGATTCATCTCTACAGTGTCTTCCAAAAATATGACATCTCTGCTTCTAATAATTTTCTTATCTTTTTCATCATACAACCAGGTATTTTAATGGTTGATCATATAAGCAGCTGTAGAGACTGCATCTGCCCAAAATTTCTTTGGTATTCTAGCATCTATCAGTAGACATTTGGCACGCACGACTAAAGTTCGATTCATTCTTTCGCTCATACCATTCTGTACCAGTGCGTATGGCATTGTGAACTGTCGCTTGCTACCAGACACTCGACATAATTTTTCAAATTCTCTATTAGAATATTCTTTGCCATTATCAGATTTTAAAGCTTTTTTTAATTTTTATACAGCTGATTCTCAAAAAGGTTTTTAAATTCTTTGAATTTTTCGAGTGTTTTTTGTTGTAAATAAATTGTAAATAAATATCTTTCTGATATAATCATCAATAAATGTTACGTTCTTTGGCACTACCAACGTTACGACTTCCCTTGGCACCACCAAGGGAAGTCGCTTCCATAGGGCTACAATTTTGAAAGGTTGTCTGGTTTGTTTACCCTGCAAACATGTATTACAAACAAAGTATCTATCTTGTTTTATTACTTTCAAATCACCGCCATCAACTGATTCAGGTATTCGAATATTTTGGTAATTAAGCTGGTCTAACCTCTGGTGCCACAAATGAGCAGAGGTTAATCGTGCATATGTATCATTTTTTATGACATAAACGTTGTTTTGTATATGACCTGTCA